GAGCAGAAAGGCTTGCTAAAGCTACATATGTACTGAACTTTATAAATTGATGGTATGATGATGGAAGACTACCCATAGCCCGTGATTTTGTTTCAGTTAACAAGGAAAGAATGAATATTCAGGGGAAAGCTGCTGTATTAATAAAGAACTTATAATTGGGTCAATGGGAAGGCCTGTTGCCACTAATAACTGGGGGAGAGGTTATGCTTGTGTTTCCACAGGTGCAGGACCATGATGGATTCCAGCAAGGGCAGTGAAACCTCATTTATCAGCATCACCTTTATCTGCTGCACCATCATCATGAATGCTGTATGGGTACCTTCACAGCCTAAGACTAATGTGTGGGTTACGCTTGCCAGTGACATCAGACAGACACTCTGTTGATCAGTATCATCCCCTGACTCCCCATTACCTTATGCCTAGTAGGATTTCCCCTTGATCAAGGGAAATGGGAACAACTGGCTCACACCACTAGTGCTTCCTGCAGGAAGAGAAGGTCTGGAGAAGAAAATGGATGGTGGACATGTGGGATCAGTGGGTTCCCCCTTGTTCCCCATGTTGCTACCCTTGCAGAAGCCAGAATTTTTGGGATCAGTAAAAATAGATCGGTGTGTATTCTGGAAATGATAAATCTCTTTCATGGTCTTTCATGGTCAGTCAATGCTACAATGCTTGTGTACAGAAATGCATCAGCTTGGTGTAATTACACATCCTCAAATACTTCAAAATCAAGTAGTTCTTACTATGTGTATTTTTAATGTGTGGAGATTGCACATGGCTAAACATTCCATCATATATTAAAGGAGGGCCCTGCTCCTTGGGCAGGTTGGCCCTATTAATACCGAATCTGACTGTGATCCTTGCAAAACACCAAAATCATGGTAGAATCTGAAGAAATATTCATGCTTTTGATAAAATTGCAAAGACAAGATTAAATTTTGGAACAGGGAATCAATTGTGTTTGCATCACTCTTCACTCTGGGGGTAGCAGCTGCTAAAACTTTAGCTAGTTTAAATAAGCTAGGATATTGGCTTAGCAAGCAGACTAATGCAGCCTCGCAAGCACTTTCAGACCTGTTACAGGATGTCAACTCAGTTTATCACAGTGCACTGCAGAACAGAGCTGCTATTGACTTCCTGCTTCTCACACAAGGACATGGCTGTGAGGACACTGAAGGACTGTGCTGTATGAACTTGTCAGATCCATCCATCAGAGTATTCAGCAACTGCAGGAAGGTGTGCAGAAATTAACATGTGGGAACTTCATGGAGGTGGTTCAATGGGTGGATTCAAGGCCTGGGCTGTTGGATTCAGAAACTAATTAATTTAGGACTAATATGTCTCTTGATTCTTGTGTGCCTTTAAATCTGTATTCCTTGCATTATATCCTGTGTAAGAGTTATGATTAACAAAGTGATAAATCACGTACTTGTTCAAGTTAATGATGACTTGGGCAATGTGGATCCAGTTAGCAATATGGTGGTGAGAGAGGATGGCAATATTATCACTTTGGTCAGCAAGAAAACATGGGAGTAAGTAGTTGTAGCTGTAAATACTTTCAACAACTGTTTTGTTTGTAGAGAGAGCCAACCTTAGTAGTTTGTCTTATTTTGTGAGTTCTGCTCACAGTGTGTTCTGCTTGGGCTCTGCATCACACACTGGCCGTGCGGACGCATGGAGCAGAAATGAAAAAAACCATGCAGAGAGAAGAATAAAAGCAGGAGAGAGACGGTGATGGGAGACAGAGGAAAAGTGCACTTTGAAGCAGGGGATGCCCTGCTGGCACTGCCTATCACATCCAATGCTGGCATGTTCCTTCTCTCTCCTTCCTGGAGGCTTGCTGTCTCTCAGGATTCCATAAGTAATAACACATTAGCTTAGGGATTTTCCATTTCCCACTCATGGAATTGTCTAAAAATTGTGAGTGTGCACATATCAGCTAAAAAACTCGTGACCTTCTATGTAACTGTTTTCTTATGTTTAGTGTGTTATCAATCAAGGCCTTGATTGAGGTATGATTTGTATATTATTAATATAATCAGTGCTATTATTTTATAGTCTGGTAATAGTTTGCTAATAAGCAAAAAAGGGAGAATTGTGGGAATACAAGAAAGACTATTCAGAACAGCAGCTGTGAAGCAAGATAAACAGCATCAGAAAGCAACACTGAGAACTAAGACAGGTCTAGAAGAAGAAAAAAGCCAGAGGAACAGTCCATGGCTCTGGTTGGATAAGCACCTGTATGCACAACTAAGGAGTGTTTGTGCAATACTTTGTTGACATGTTAAGGCAGAACGGAAAGTTGTAATTGCAAATGGGAAAGCTAAAAAAGGAATCTTGTGAATGTATATAAGTGCAATAAATGATTTGGATCATCCACATCTGAGTCCATGCCTCATTGCTACACACATAAGTCTATGGAGCCCAATGGGATTCATCCCAGGGCTGAATCATGTAATCATGAGACTTCTCTCAATTATTTTTCAATGGACAGGTCTCAGTCAGCTGGAAGCTGTCAAGTATTGTCCCAGTTTTTAAGAAGGGCAAGAAAGAATACTGATAACTACAATCTTGCCAGTCTCAGTGGCTGGCAAAATGAAGGAGAAGGTTACTCCAGGAGTTACTGAAGAACACTTGACAGACAAAGCAGCCATTGGTCACAGTCAACCCTGTCTCATGAGAAGAAAGTCCTGTTTAAAAAATTTATTCTCCATGTATAACAAGGTTATCCACCTAGTTGACCAAGGGAATACAGCTGTTTTTGGATTTCAGCTAAGCTTTCAACACTCTTTCTCTCAGTGTCCTTCTAGACAAAAAGTCCAGCATATAAGCAAGACAAAATCATAATGTAATGGGTGAACATTTTGCTGATGGGTCTATGATTATATGACATTAAGTAAGAAAGCATTGAAGGAATATTTAAGTATTAAAAATGCTGCACAACAGCAACTGGGAGAGAGGAGTGAGAAATGGGAGAGAAATAGCTCTGCAACCACCAAAGTCACTGCAGGAGGAACTGCAGCTGGTGGCCGGTCACTACTGGATTTCCACAGGTCTCTGTTTTGGGAACAGTTCTCTTTAATATTTTCAAAACTTGAAATATACTATGTCAGTTTACAGATAATACTAAACTGGGAGAAGTTGCTGACTCCCTCAAGGGTAAAGAGGATTGCAGAGATCTTGACAAATTAAAGGGCTAGGTAATTAGCAATTGCATGACATCTAAGAGCAAGTGCAAGGCTCTGAAACTGGGACAGGTCAATCCTCACTATACATGTTCTGACTGGGTGAAAAGAGGCTGGAGAGCAGCCCTACAGAAAGACATCCTGGGTGTTCTGTCCGACAGCAAGTTGAACATGAGCCAGCAGTACGCCCTGGCAGCCCAAATGGCCAACCATACCCTGGGGTGAACTTGCCCAGGACTGCCTGCAAGCAAGAAGAGGACTTTTCCTACTCTGTTCTGCAAACACAGAAAACTACTGGGGAGTTCTCAGAAATATTGTTTCAATTTTGGGTGGTCCTGCTTCAAGCCAAGAGTTGGATGCAGTTATCACTGTGGGTCCCTTCCAGGATATTCTGTGCTTCTATGATCCTGTGATCATTTTTCACTGTATTTTTTCCCTGTCCTGCTGAGGCGTGGGGGTGCCAGAACAGTGTGTTGAGAACTCAGAGACAAGCCAAGGTTAACCCTCCTCAGTTGTGCAGCTTAGACATTTCTTCATCTCTCAAAAAGCTCTATTTATTAATATTTGTGGGGGAACTAAATTCAGGCCATGATCTGCTTGTAACTTTTTATTTATTTACCTTTCCCTGGGGATCCTGAGAAGGACTTGTGAAACTAGCTCAGAATATAGCTATATTAACTGTACCCAGTCCTAAAGGACAAGAGAATGGGTATGCATTGACTCTCATAAAATTTTACATTCCATATATGACAATTCTGATTTCAGGTTTTTAATTTTTAAAATAAGGTTCTTTTACCATTGAACATCCCCACCTGCAAAGGTGAACTTCAAGACACATTACTTTAAAGCTTAAAAGTAATTACTTGCGTTTATTTTCGTCTCCTCCTTTTCTTTTTTTAATATACGAGGCCAGCACTGCAGCTGCCCACCCACACTCATTCATCCAGCAGTTGCTTTAACGCCAGCACAAAATATCAAACTTCCCAGGAAAAATTTATGCATAATTTTGCAGGAAGACTCAAGCCCTCAGTCAGTTCCACATGTTGACCTGAGCATGAGAACAGGAAATGAACAAGTTGGTCAAAATATCCCGACTTTCTCATTCTGAAAGGAAGAGCCTTCCCAGTATTTTACATAAACATTACTATTATTCAGCCTAACTCCAGTGCCAGTTCAGTAATTGGCAAATAGCACATTTTGTTGTAATGCTCCAGTGCATTTGCTGGTATCCAATCTACTTGTTAAAAGAAAGAAAACTACTGGATGGCAAACAATATGCTATTTTTCCACAGGCCCTGTTGCTTTTCCTATTTTTGATTCTTGATATCATAGCCATCCTCTCTCTTGGAGATAGCATATGGGACAGAAAGGCTCTTTTGCATGCTCTTGAAAACAGGCAAATTGTCCAGGCTGTCATGGATATGCTAAGGAGCAGAGAAGAGCTGTTGGAATTCAGTATTTCCCTAGTGGTTAGAGTTAGGAAACCAACACTTGCAGGCTATTCAAGCTTGCTATGTCAGAAGAGTAACATATCTCAGCACAGAAACACCAGCCAGCATTCTTAGTACTTGACAGAGACTGAAAGCATTTTCCCTCTTGTAATGCTCTTTGTGCCCTAACACTCCCATTCAGAAACAGTCTTCTTCATCCTATCTACTTTAACAAATAAGTCACCAAATGGTGATATTCCCAAACCATTTTTTTTTCCTGGGGGGAGGGAGCACAGGGTGGAAAATTATTTACATTTCTGCTTGCCTTTTTGACATTTCTTTTATTCTCATTCCCAATGGTAGAACATCTACATTAGCCTTAAATAGTACCAGATTTTGTAAAGCAAAATAAGTTAAACTAATAAATCTAGTATCAAAATTGAGCATTTGATTTAACTCTTAAGCACTGGGAAAAGCATTTGGCAGAAGCCACCTGGTTGCTTTCTGACTCCTGACGGCCACTGATCACAGCTGGTATCACAATCCATTACAGGATAACACTGTCCCATTGTTTTTTTTTTTAATCTCAGTATTTTAGACCCATGAAATAACAATCTCTGGCAGACATTAGTAAGAGTAAAGAAGCTATTTTTGTATTTTTGTATTTATTTTATATTGTTAGACAATATGTGTAACGTACAGCACTTAAGTCATTCTTCTTATGCTTGTATGGGAACTATTGAATCACAGCCTGAACCTCTGATTGATCACCTGAGCCAAGCAATGAGTCAGCTGTGGGAGCACAGGTGAAGGCAGTCCGGTGTGACCAGAAGGGGTGGAGGCTGGCTCCACTTCTCCTAGACCTCGTTTAAGGGCTGACTGCTGCTGAGGAAGGATGTCTTTTTGGAGACTGCTTCTCTTGGAGTCTTTTTTCTGCAAGCCCAGGATGTGGGCAAGCTTTCCATTCATTTCTGGTTATCCCACTCTAATGTGACAATCTTTCCAGCCTAACTTCTCTCTATATTTATTGATTATACACCTGTATACTCGTTGATTATACAATCCTACACGTGTGATTTTTTTTCCCCATTAAGTGTGAACAGTGTCTACTTTTAATCTGTTGCCAAACATTTCACAACAGTTTGGTCTTCATGCTTTGTATGTCTTCATACTTTGATTCTCTATGGAGTCAGTTTAACATATGAAAGAATATGGACTAACAGGCTCAGTAGTGATCTTTGTCTGTATAAACTTTTTAATTTCAGCTTTGTTTGGAGAGCTTTCTTCTGTTTCATCCCCTTTTGTTTTATGTTCCATTATAAAAGTCCTCCATGTAAGAGTTTTCTTCCAACCACTTCCAAGTCTGTATTTTCTAAAGCAAATATTTCTAAGTATATATTAGATACATTTAAAAATATGTTGCTGGCATATTTTGTCTGCATAGAATTAATAACAGCTTCTGTCACTACACTTTTGTTATGTTTGATCTTTTTTACTTTGTATCATATATGTTTCTTTAGCTCTAAGAAAAGCTATCAGATTCAGCACTTACTTTCCAAAATTAAGGTTTCATTTTTGCTTTACAGGTTCTTTACTTGTATTTGGTCTCAAGTGGTAGTAAATTACTAGTGAACTAGGGTAAGTGAGGAAAGATACAATACACATTTGAAAGAAAATATGAACTACATAAAATATTATTCTAGATAACAACATATAAATATTGGTGATAATTCTTACTGCTTCTACATAGTAGCTCATAGTGTCTCTTAATAGCTTTTCATTAAGTTAATTAAAGTTTGATTTGACCAGATAAGATTCTCTCATATACTTCTTTGGTTAACAAGATATATGTTTGCTTGGAATTATCTAAAAAATAAAGAGGATCCGTAATTGTAGATGGATTAAAACCTTCATCCACTAATCTAAATTTTTGTTGTTTGAAAGTTCCAGTCATTTCCATTGTTTCCTGTAGAAGAGAGAGAGATTTATTATTTTTTGACTCACACTTCCACTTGTTTTTGTAAGTCTTAATTGATACTGTTTGGTTTCACTTCTCTAGAAAACCATTTTTCTCAGAATTTCTGTTCTGCTATGGACCAACACATGTTGATAGAGTGAAAAGAAGCTGTAGTCACTTGCAAGCAACCAAGGGTTGTGAGAGCAGTGAGGCACTGGAACAAGTTGCCCAAAGAAGCTGTGGATACTCCATCCCTGGACGTGTTTAAGGACAGGCTGGACGGGGTCTTGGGCAGCCTGATCTGGTGGGTGGCAATTCTGCAGCAGGTTGGGATTGGATAATCTTTAAGGTCCCTTCCAACCCAAGCTGTTCTTTTTTTTTCCCCTTCCATCTAAAACCTTTGCCACAGACACCACTAAACTCTGCAGTGATTACTTCATTTAATTTTCATTTCAAACTGAGCTTATGATTTACCACCAATCCTAGATTCAAATCCTCCATTGCCAGTCTGATTAGATTACATCTAAATCTCCAACCATAGTGCTCCTTTTATCATTAAGTAATCTTGGGATGTTCCTAATGAACTTGTGAAATTTTAGTGCAATTGTTGTTTATGCCTTTGACCTGTCATCAAATCTCAGTGCAACCATTAATACTGCTCTTCATACTTTCCCATACTGCATGGACCTCAGAGAGTGTTTCTTTCTCAGGCTGTGCCAAGGAAGATTCAGACTGGGTGTTAGGAAATACTACACCGAAAGAGTGGTCAAGTGCTCAAATGGGCTGCCCATGGAGGTGGTGGATTCACCAACCCTGGAGGTGTTCAGGGAAGATCTAGACATTGTGTTGAGGGACATGGTGTAGTGAGAACTACTGGTGATAGGCAGACAGTTGAACTGGATGATCTTGTAGGTCTTTTCCAACCTTGGTGATTCTTTGATTCCTGGATCCTGTTTATTCCTTTCTTCTTCTGAGCTCCGCTTCATGACCTCTCTTCCTTTATCTTGTTTGTTGTGTCTCCTGCTTTACCTAAACCTTTCTATTCTCTCATTTTCAATGAATAAAATGGATTTTAGGTTATTTTCTCCAGTTGAAATAGTTCACATTTTAGTAATCCAAACCTCTTGTTTTCCCATGTGCATGCTTCTAATCTCCACAAATCCTTTTGTATGATATCTCTTCTTACTGATTAATACATTTCCTCTTATTTTAAAATAATCTACAAATTGTGTTGTCTTTTTTATGCAAGTCCCTCCCCAAAACTCCATTAATACAGTAAACAGGACCAGTTCTAAAATAAAATCATAAATTATATGAACATGCATTTTCTGATATTTCATTAGACTTCTCTGTGTTCAAATAGCACAGATGTTTGTATGCACAGAACAGTCATCCAGCTTACCTGGACTCTTAGAAAAAGAGGACAGGCATAACCTGGGAGATATGTCACTACTTGCTTATACATTTGCTCCAGGTCGATTGCTTTGTTCTGCTTTAAAATAAGAGAGGCCATTCCAGCTTTTCCTTCATGGCCTAGAGGAAAGGAAGCGAGATGAAAACGTTACAAAAAAGAAATAAGGATGGACTGACAATTATGTATAATATTCTGAGTTTCACTAAAACAGTAGCATTTTGATTTTATACAGTATTACATACTTTAGAGATAACTCAAGTGATGAGTTAAGCAACAATGCTATAAATGAGTTGAGAACATAAGAGTAAAATGGAGAACCATCATAGAGTACCATGCTCAACATTCCTCAGTATATGAGGATAAATAACAAATTCACCCCTCTCTCAAAAACAGACTGCTGATGTGCTTCCCTGGATTAGTGAATTGTATCTTCTCTTCACTTTTAGCCTTTCCCTCTTGCCACTACGTCCTCTCAAAACTGTGGATCTGAAAGTTGTCAACAGAGAGAAAGATTAACAGCCTTAATCCACGTGAGTGGAAAGACAGTAGGTCTATGAGAGAGAAAGATGGGTAAAATGTAAGAGAAATAAAATTCAGCAATGAAAGAAACCCTTCACGTTTTAACTACTGTTTGAGTGACAACAGCTAACCCTTTTTCTCATGTGTACCTTTTTTTCCCCCCAGTGCTACAGTTTCTGTGAGGAAATTTATTTGTGCCCTGTAAACTGGCTCAGCTATTTCTTCATACAGATAAGAACCAGAAGGTAAATGTTGTGCACGAAATGAGGAGCTCTCATTTTTTTTTATTCTGATTTTCAGTCAGTAGTCTTCAATATGATTTTTCTTGTTCTGTGGCTTTAAACTGGTGGCAAGTAGCACCCTTTTTGCATTTTAAGCTTATAATTTTGTAGGGGTTTGACTGTGGACAAGGGCTAAATATCCACTTCACCTCTCACTCGCTCCCCTCTCCCACATGATAGGGATAAGCTGAAAGAAGGTGAGAAGACTCATGTATCAAGATAATGGCAGTTCAGCAGGGAAAGAAAAAGGTGTGTGCACAAGCAAAGCAAAAAAGCAGAATGCATTTGCTGCTTCCCACTGGTAGGCAAAAGTCCAGCTAAGCAGTGCTGAGTTATCAACACAGTTTCAGCCACAAAGGCAAAGCACAGCACCACACAAGTTGCTAGGAAGAAATTCATTTCCCTGTTAGCAAGACCTGCTATACAGTTTTAAAAGCCTTTAGCATTAATGGGAATCAGGCCCAAATAACCTTATGAAAATTAACAAAAAAAATCTGAAAAGAAGGTAATTGCTTTTAAGTAATTTCTTTTTTTTTTTCTTTATTCCTTGTAATGACCTTGGCTTTCTAACATTCTTGTCTGTAAAGAGTTTATGAGGCTTAGTTAAATTTAAATAAAATAGAATGTATTCATACATCCTTTAAAGCTATGTTAATTCTTACCTTGTTGACATTATTTTATTCTGACACATGAAAATGTGGATTTTCCATGACTGTCAATATAATGAAGCTTGAAACTTTAGGCTTATGCAGCTATCACAACTTCATGAAAGATAACTTTTCAAAAGTACATATTACATGCACATAAAAATGTTCTGCCTCATTCAGAAACAGTTGGCATCTTCATTATTTACATACACATTCTAGTTACATATTAAAAAGATGACTCAGTTTGAAATGATTCATGGGTTTACAACATGAAATAAAAGAGTTACAAAGGTTAACAACTAAGCAAGCAACAGAGGATGGAAAAAATAAAGCTGAAGCATCTATTACCTGGCACTGATACGCCATATACATTTGCTTCTTGTATGAAATCCAACATAACAATGACATCAGAAACTTCCGTTGTTGCAACATTCTCTCCTTTCCATCTAAAATGTGGAAAACACAATATTTTCATCCTTTGGAGACATAAGTATATCTTTAAAAAGATTCCATTCATTTTAGATTATTAATAGCTCATATTTGTTCTTGCTTGTCATCTTGGTACACTGATCTTATTACCAGAAGATAGTGCAAGTAATTAAAGTGTTACCAGATATTATCCATCACTATGAAGTACAATGCACGTTTATCATAACCTGATGATTTAAAAATTTTGATGTATATCCAAATATATCAGATGAGACCACAGTTTACTATTTCACTATTTTTATCTGTTTCTGTATCCAATTCTCCTTGCCTGCAGCAAAATTACCATTGATAAGTATGATCACTGGAAGGATTTTTCAAAGACCTGTAATTCCTACAAAACTGGAGATGAGTTATCCAGCTTAGCAGGAGAACTTTGTGCAAAATGAAGCCCCTGTCATCCTTTTCAAAATGATTCTATACTGCATCAACGTACTTCTAAACTGACCACTTCTAGCTGAAAACAAATAGATCACATGTAGGTTAGAATAGATTATATAGTTAGAATATTCTAACCTACTTGTCTGGTTTTTAATGAAGAGATATAAAAAGAAATATTGATTATACCTGAAGGTATCTCCAATCCTGTCCCAAAAATACAGGAAATTCTCATGGTCTTGAACCATTAGGTCTCCAGTATTAAAATAAAGATCACCCTTCTTAAATACCTCACTGAGTAATTTCTTTTCTGTGTGTCTCTTACTGCCAGCATAGCCGAAGAAGGGGTTCTTTGCGTTCACTTGGGAAATGAGAAGACCAGCCTCACCTGTACATAGAAGTGGAAACAGATGTAAACTTAAAATACACAAATCCTATACTTGCCATTGGTGTTAATTTGCTACATAGGACTTTACAAAAATCAGGAACCAAGTTTAGCAGGGCTCAGTATTTAAGCCCAAATCATAAAAGCTTAATAATAAAATAAAATAATAAAACCTCTTACCACTGCTTTGCAATGTCACCCCTACACACAAAGTGATCATAAACACACAGAGCAACTGTCTGTTCAAATTTCTGTTATATGTTTCTTATTGACTAAGCAGTTCTCAGCCATCAATTCTGAGTTCACTAATACATTCTTTTGTCATCTCAAAGTGCCAATAGTATTTTCCTCTTTCTACACCTTACTGGATTTCTAGTGATGAGTCTCAACTTTACCAGCTCCCTACTCAGTTAAAAAGCCAGTGTATCTAAAAGAGCAGCTGGTTGACCAAAGCAGTAAATCCATAGTTAGGCTCAGAAGTTCAGAAGTTCTGAGAAAAATTCTGAAGATTTTTAGTGATGTGATAAACATCACTGCTTTCATTTTTGAGTAAAATATAGGAGTTTAAATATAATTCTTCTTCCTCAAAAATGAAGGGGATGATATGAGGTTAGCATATCTTTGAAAATAAGCACAATAAAGAGATACTAGATATCTGATAAGCATTTTGAAGACAGTTATAATCAAGCAATGTATTTGATAAAACGCATAAAGGAGCAGTTAATCAAAAGCACTTAATGTCTCTCCAAAAAGCACTTCAACTAATTCACCAGTCTTTCTCATAGATCTCCCAGGCAATCACCTCAATATGTTAACTTCTTTTCGAAAAGACACATTTTCTTCATATTTAGAGACTGTATCACTCTGTCATTTTTCCACGCTGCACTTCTGTGAATATATCTAAGGATCTCCTAAGTTCTTTTGGTGTCAGCACTGCAATGCTTAATAACAGTCTGTCTTACATCAAAATTCGTATTGCTTTTGTTAGAATTGAAGATTAATAGTTTATGTTGTACAGTACAGTATCCCTACTGTAAGGTCTCTTAAAAAAAAGATCCTGGAAGTGTTTGAATTACCATTGTAATACATTGTAATACATACTTACCTTTCTTAACTTTCTCACACCAACCATGCTTATTTCTAATTGGTTCATCTTTCTGGAAATCATACTTGATTAAATCAAATGGGAAAAAAAGCTGAAAAAGGGAAAACAAGGTCATCAGTTTTTCATCTACACAGTGACATCTGGTGGCAGCAGATGTAAGCAAGAAAACTTTTAGTCCTGCTCATCTCAAAGTAGATCAGAGTTTCATCTGAAACTAAAAATAAACTAAAAAGTCTGTAAACTCACACAGTTTCCTGGAGATAACTAACACACATTTTTGTGATCGTGTAACTTTCAAAATTACTTGGTGAAGATACAGAATTGTATTGTTCGTTTTCTTACAGAGGAGTTGTGGGACCCACATATCAGTACAGTCTACAAGGATCAGAGTAGTAGAAGCATATATGAAATCTGAACGGACATCTTAAGCTGATATAAAAAGGCTTCTTGAGGTATTCTGCTGTCTAAAACAACAGGGAATGCACATTTTTAACTGCTGATCAAAAGAACAACGTTACAGTGTGCAAAATCAAGTAAGGATCCAGAAATTAGACACTTTTTCAATAAAGCCAAGGGGATTTTTCTTAATCTAATACTTTACTGTAGCTCTTAAATTCTTGAAGTTGATAAATGCTACACAATTCAACTTAATTTCAAGATAACTGCTTTATTCTTGATAAGTAGGATGGGTGGTATTCTTCTTAAATGGAAGATATTTCTTCTTGGAGTCTTTTCTTTGGATTTCTGTATTAAATTGCTCTTCTGTTTCACTTCTTTTTTGCACTGATGCTTACTACATCAATAGGTTTCATATGACAAAACAAATGCAATGAATAATATAAATAAGAATGAAATAGTGTGATATGTTATTCTGATATCAGTGTTTAATTAGAACAGCAGCACGCCCTGCTCATGTTCATTTTCATCTATTTTCTCCTTCAGAGATCAAAATACGTGTCTGTATCTGTATTAGACTGTTTGATGCATTATTTTATGTTGTTTTAACTGCTCAGAAGCTAGTTAGTACTTGAGGTCATCTAAATGACCATTGAGATTTACTATTTATGCTGCTGCATACATCTTTTAGTGCTTCCAACTCTGGCGTATTAACTACACCTATTCCAGTTATTTTGTTGAAATAAATCATGCAAATACACAATTACAAGGAGAAAACAGCACATATTAGACATTAGATATTCAACATGAAACTATGAGCCAAAATATTTTCTAGGCAAACAGCTGTCTCTGTGCAGTAAACTTTCTTTTCATATTAAATAGTAGAAAATGAAGGCTCCAGAGCAAAGCATTTAGTCTGGTTACTGGCCTACTTTTCTTTTATCTCATTTAAAATTCACTGGAAAACAGCCTGAACCGCTGAAGCATTACAATATTATTTTCACAGAGTACTGTATGCAGCACTCATCATTTTAATCTGTATTTTATTCTCCAGAACACTATGCAAATGGATCAACCAAAAATCAACACTGATCTCACTGAAACGTAAGATGATTTGAACTGCAACATGAGTGTCTCTTACTGTGCCACTTGGATGTTGGTTAATAGTGGCACTGCAAAACCCTGGGTATTTTTTTTTTTTAATAGACTGGCAACATGAATGTTTAAATATTTTTTTGAAAACAGTTTTGAAATTCCTACAGTTTCGACCTGTAGTCAAGGAAAAAAAGAACGCATTGAAAACTCATTACAAGCTATACTTGATAAGTGAAAGCAGAAGCAATACTTTTTTTAGCTTATCTGTCTTTCCCTTCCACTGGTCAATGAAATTCCAGGGACACATGTCAAACTTTTGCCTGTGAATAAAGTTTTCCAGGATGTTAAGACACGGCTTTGTTTTTAAACATGGCTTTGTTTTTAAACTAAGAGTGATCACTTCTGCCACATTGTTCTAGAGCTATATGGAAAAACTCGTAATACTAATTCAGCACTGCTGTTTCACATATGATGCTTTAACTGTTGAAACAATTTCAGATTTGTTATCAACTGCTCTTTTCAATAAATATGACTTAAGTGTATCTCAGCTTACAGATGATTATCATCCAAACAATTTTGAGTAAGAAATTTAGAATCATACGATAAGTCTTTAAAATTTATAAATAAAATTGGAATAATCTTTCAGGGTTGTCATGGACTATTTTTAGTCTTTACTATAAGCTTCACTGGATTTCATCAGTTCCATTTCCTCCATTGCATATTCTCTGCTGTCACATAAAATATATTTCAGAGCAAGATATAGATTTACACACATATTTGATAGATGCTGAGAGCTTTTTCCCATAACCAATTTCTACAAATATATATATCATAACACATTAAAACTTTTAATGTCATAATAACATCAGTCATAAACATTAGCTACATAGAGATGTATATCAAGTGTAAACTTCAGACAGTCATTTATTACTGTAATCATCTATGCACTATCTTCTCTGTAAAAAAAATTCAAGATGGTGTCAAAATTTCAATCATCTAAAATGCTAGCCAAAGTTTTCTACTATTCTGTTCACTGAGTCTGTATTGACATTATGAATATCCATATTTAGGGATTTATTTATATACCATATAACACTTTCAAGTAATCCATCATATAATGAATATAGTGTGAAAATAAACAAGTGGAAACAAGAGCAATGCCTTGAGTTAGCATCTCATACACAATGGCTTCTTGGATACCTGGCAATTGCAATGCCATTCACCTTGTTTTTATGCATTCACTTGTGTCTTCAAAATTATTTAGGAAAATAAGTGTATAGAACCCCAGTATTTGTCAGTACAACTTCCCATCACAACCACCATTCGGCAGGTACTAACAGAAGACTTACTTCCTTCATTTGGAGTGCTCAATTTGTCTCTGATAGCTGTATTCTCTGCATTTCACCTTTAGAAACTGCCACGTTGTCATTGGGTACAACAGAAATGAAATGTATATTTAGTTTTTCCCCATTAAAAATATTGTACCTGGAACCTACCTGTCAGCTACACATTTGATATATGTATGGATGGACTTTTATACTGTATTTAGTTCATCTCCATGCTAGTGGAACATGTACATGTCTTCCTTTAATGTTATCACATAATCACACAAATCTCTTCTCCCCTTTTTCAAACTTCTTTCTATTCCCAGGTATAAATTGTATTCGAAATTCCCAGAATGCTTGTTTAAAGATATCTCTTCATATCATTCCACGTCAAAATAAGATTTCAAATGTTGTTGTACTATTTCTTTGCAGAAACAAGATAATTTAGTAACCAAACGGGTGGGTCTTCCTTGTGCAATTCTCTGCTTTCCAGTAGGAGGCAATCTCCCTTTCCAACTTCAGATTGCTCAAGAGTCAGGGAACCAGAAAAAGAGCTGCTCTCCCTTGCATGTTGGTAGATATTTAATAAATGTCATTCAAAATAAGAAAAACAAACGTAACAGCTACACACTTCAGAATGTAAGTGCTGCCTAATAATCTGCAACCTGTAAGACATATTTAAAAACAACAAAGGCCTGAAGTAAGTCAGCACTAACTTATGTCATTACAGTATAGAATGAGTTTGTGTGTCACAATACTTGACTGCAGTGTAATCAAAAACACATACAGAAATAAACAAACTTAAGAATTTAAGTATGAAAATTTACAAAGTATATCTTATGCTGTTTTTCATGATTGTGTCTCTCTCCCTACCTCTCCTTGGCTTTTCTACAACTGCACTATACAGGAAATTTTGCTCATATCAGCACTGCTCTGCTTCATCATATGGGTGAACTAGCTGCTCCTGCTAACTAGTGAGTGTCACAAAGAAGACTGAAGAAGCTGTTCCAGAAGGACTGCACAGGAAATAAGAGCAAAGCCCCAGCAGTTAATGTATTAGAAAACTGGTAATTTGACACATCTAAGTATTGTACTAAAAAAAAAAAAAAAAAAAAAAAAAAAAAAGGATCATGTGCCATTTTGTTCTGCTGGCAGAAATTCTTTGATAGAAATTGGGTACATTATGCAATTAGATCAAAGCACACTGGTTATGAAACAATGCTTGATGCTGCTTTGGAGAAGCCTTTGAGAACTCCTCAATTTGGAAGATAATCTTGGCTGATCTGCTAACATATAATAGGGGTCATATAAGTTACCCAACAATCTAGCTAAACATACCATGTCCACATAACTGAGGTGAAGTTATCTCAGCACTGAATCTGGTTTTCAGCAACAACCTTAAGTCTTCTCAAACTCTACAGATACAGAATGCCAGATTAATACAGGCTGGTGGAAGAACTGGCAGCCAGTACACCTCAGATCCTGTGAAGAAAAGTAATAGCTAAAAACTGAGCCTGTGACAACAGTGTGCTTTAGTTACTTGCAACAGAAACTATAGAAATAACTGAAGACTTACTGTGGACTTATTTTTAGGGAAAAGAGAGTATTGATAAAGATAGAATGTACTCTGATGTCAGGTCAGGCCAAATGTAATGAATGGCTTTTTATAATTTAAAAAATCTCTTATTATCTTATTACATACTGAGAAAGTAAGCAAACAATCCCTAATTATCTTAGCAGATTATGTTGATGTTTCTATAGACTATACCAGTTTTAACTTGGAGCAGTACACAAAGTAATGTAAAGTATCTAGTGGAATCAAGTATTGCATTTATTTATTTTTAACTGCAGTTTTCAAAAGGTACTTTTCACTTAATATGCAGCAATTGCCTTAAATTTTAAGAGCGATCCTTAAAGAGGAACAAGTAGTATGTTTCATGTGCAAAAAAAAAAGAAAACCAAAATGCTAATCTTCCTTTTGGAAATCAAAAGGCAAATTTTATTAATATATGAAGTGCTACTACTACCATATGAAAAAAAAAAAAAAAAACCCAACCCACACACTAGTTGATTAAAGACACAGAAAATAATGTCAATAAATAGGTAATTTCAAATCTAATCTTCTCTATGATGAAACCTACATATGGTATTTCCAGGAGGTTGACTTCTGACTAAACTGTCAGAACTCTAAAACTGGGAGAACAAATTTACTGAGGTTTTGAGCAAATATAAAACTTTATAAGATTTTTTTTTAAAAAAAAAAGGTTTACAAGTAAATCACAACACATGGCTTAGGGTCATTTAAAAAAAAAAAAGTAACATTAGCTATAAGGTTCCTAATTCAGCTACTGCTCCTTACATTCCAGATCCCTGATTCCCTGTAGTGACCTGTATCTTTCTAAAGATACCTATTAGCACTTGATGTCCACTGTGTGTACTACAGACTATCAGTAATACATAACACAGAAAATCAGCAAAGTCTGATTTAGTTCCTGAGCTCTCAGTGGCTCCTAAGAAACACAGCAGCTCCTGCCGTCTCTCTCTTAGTGTTTCTCCCTACAAGGTCTGATGAAACACCAGCTGATAGGTTCCCATCCCTGAAACAAAGATACAGCAATTGCTCTAGGGCTTGAACTGTGAGGTAGTCTATGTGATGCTGTACTGAAGTTGTGGACCCTGGAACGTATAAGCTGTAAACAAACCCATTTGTCTTCATCTGAAGCCACCTCACTCACTCAGATAGGTTTCCAAAAAGTGTTATTACTTCCCTGTGATAATAGATTGGACTTAACATTTTCCTATCAGTTTTCTTCAGAAGCACAAAAATCACTTAAAATATGAGGATCTGTATACACGGGTATTGGTTACTTCTGCAAATTCTAGGTGATGTGTATAGTCCTAGTTATTTCAGGAGTACAAATATGCATAAATTGCAATATGGTATTAAAGATGTAGTCTCACTGCTAGAAAGCTTTAATAAGTAATCTTTAATATCTAAAGCTTGAGACCCAGGTTATTTACTGACCTCTGTAGTCATTTCAAAAATAGTATTAATAGTAGCCAAAGGGTGAAACCCATGGATTTCTTGGTGAAATACTCTAAGGTATGTATGAGAACATCCAAGTTGTAAGCTGACCCTTTTCATAGTCCTTCATTTACTTGGATACATCAAGGAGAAGACAGTGTGTATGATACAAATAACATGTACTGTTTCTCAAGAGATGTAACTTTGCCAAAGCTACAGAAATACAAGAAATAGACTCCGAAATACAAAAGATGCCATAAGTACTGAACAAAAAAAATTTCTATGTTAAGTAATCAAGAACAAAGTAAATATAGAAGATATGGTAGGCAGCAGGCATGGAATTTTTATATTACTGTAACTGGTAAGTAGTTTCTGCTGTATTTACACAACAATATTTATATATGGAATATATTTGCTTTGAAATTTCAGAATAAGGAAGCAGATTACATGAAGTACAGTTTGAGTTATATATAATTATATCTAGGTATATTTTATATAAAATATCCCTTCAAAATATCCCTTATTTATGTGTTACTTTATTACTACCAATTCTCATTTATGCCAAATATCCACAGAGTATTATATAATATAAATATACTCTTTGTGTTTACTTCACAGATGCTAATTTCATAAGTACTTACTAAAACAAACCTAACTTCCTTTTTTGCCCTTTAATGTAGCAAAGATTTGGTCTTTATATTCAGAATCTACTAAAAACTCTACTAAGAATGGCAAGGCATTTATGAGTCCTGTGGACTCTAAAACTTCCAGTGTTCCTGCTGAAAGTATAACTTGGTTGGGTGCTAAGCATGATAAACAATACTTTGACAGCCAAGATTTTACAGACTGCCAATTAATCTTGCAATAACAAAGAGTATTTAGCTTATACCTCAGGTCCCATGTCCTGTGGTCAAACCAAGAAATACGCTGACTTTCAGCACTCCATTTTACCAAGTAAAATATAAGTAGTCACCTTATAAAAGAAATTGGTGCGTCCAACAGATCCAATTTTTCCTGTGTGGTTCATGAAACAAATGTTTCCTTCAGTGGCGCCATAAAACTCACAGATCTTAACAGCACCAAATCTGTTTAAGAATTCTCTCCATACATCATTTCTTACTCCATTTCCAACTGCTAGTCTGACTTTGTGATTTTTCTCTCCATCTTTCTGTAAAAAAAAAAACAAAACAAAAAAGCATTAAAACAGAATATTTTCATAACTACATCGGATTGTTGCACATATCTAAAGAAAGCTAGTATAACTAGCCTGTAGCTACAAGTTAGCAAACTCAAAAAACAATAAAAAATTTTTTGTCTTGTTGAACATGTAAATGATTGCCTGCACAATGTCTACACTAATTTATATAAGTGATTGCATATCATCTCCATCTGTTTTCAAGCAGAGCAAAATTAGAAAAATGGAAAAATTACAGAAAGGTAGGCACTGTTTCTGGTAAGTAGTTAAAGTCAGCAGAGATTAATAGTAACTTTCTTCTGTTTTCAGAATGATTAAAAGAAACAATCAGATTCCATACACTTGTAATACCTGTTTCTTCCCACACACTACATATGAGTCATTTTCCATATTTTTTTAATATTAAGACTTGCAAAGTTTTGTTCAACATTACTTGGTATACAGTATATCAATATAGGCAATATATATATATAGTGATCTTTAATCTTTACTGTTGTCAACTTTCACTTTTTAGTAGAAGAAGTAGTATAGTTTGTGTTCAGCCAGTTCAGTGAGACTGAATTTATGAATACTTTCCCAAACCGTATGGTTGCATGGAGAACTTAAAATGCAATCAGATTTAAGCTGAAGTGCCAGAAAGCAAAAGACCTAATGTGGGTTTTTTTTTAATTTCATCTATTTTAAAACAAGACTCCCTTTTTAATCAGTGCAAGTGGCAATACAGAATACCACACAAATGAGACAAAAAGAAATACAGGTACCATTCTGTTACCATATACCTTTAGGACTCTGTATCACTGCAGTATTCCAACACCATCTATATGTATCTCTGTATATGTATACTTATGCAAATGTATGCATATACATACATTTATATACATATATAAACATACATGCACACATATTCTCTTTCCTTTATATGCCTATATCTCTATATATGTATGTACACACATATATGTCCCTATTTTGTTTTCTATTCCAGTCTCTCCTCCCCACTCTAGTCCAGGATAAGTTAGGTAAGTCTTCAGAATGAAGTTTTCAGAAAAAAAATCATTTTAGCACCTTTATTCTAGCAGAAAAGCAGAAGAAAGCATTACTGGGAAGAGATCTGGTCAGCTGACTCTATGTATTCTGCATGTTAAAAGCAGGAAACTTTCTTTTACTGAGTATATGGACAAGACTTTCTCAGAATCTCATTGATGACTGCAATTCAAGTTTTTCACGAAGGTAATAAATTCTTATTTCTGTCACAAAAACTGACACACAGTAACATTTCAAGTTCATCACCTAAATCATGAAAACCAATCAAGCTTTTCTCTGTCCCCTCAAAATCAGTAACTCGGAAAATTCATCATCCAGTTTCAGAGTCTTTCTTCAGCACTTCAGGAAGGAATTAATACATTTCACTAAATGCAGACAGCTCTTGGCAGATTACAGTCAAAAACATTATTCTGCTATACTATCCCAAAACTACATCACTCACAAGTCTCCTCCAGTTACTATTCGTTGGGTTTTTAAACACCAACTCTATTCTTCCACTTCTTCTTTCTCCTCTTCTACCTTACTTCTACTTTTCTGACTTGATAAAAAGTCATTTCTAATTACATACACACAAACTTCACTTACTTTCTGTGAAATCATTACCAAGTATCGTATAACACAGCACAACAATACTATCCATGAACATGACCTGTCATAAATTGTCTAAAACTGGCCTAATTTTGTAATTTTTAGAGCAATTTGTTTTTCCTACTTTGGATACAGTACATTGTGTAGACATTCATCTATCTGAAGTGATAAGGCATTCAAAGGTCAACAAAGGTCAATACTGTCAAGGAACAATAAATATATATATATATATATTACTGTATATAATTATGTGTAATAATTTTATTATTTTTATTATTTTTTTAAAAAGTGTTTTAGTTCTACTTCGAACATAGTCTAGAAAGCCTTTTATTTCCCCCAGAAAATCATCTGCCATCTTTGGAACATTCCAGTCAGCTTGACTTAAAGCTTTTCAAAATGAGATATTTTCCTTAGAGTTTCAGTGCTAATCTGAAATTAATTTATCATTAACCAAACTGCAGTTACCACTCAATAACAGCACCAAATTATTCAAATGCACTGCCTCTTCAAAGAATATGAAAAATCACACAATAGATTCTGTTCATCCAAAATGAACAGAAAAGACAAATAAGTATGTATTTATACACACTAATTTAGTGAGTCATTCATCAGTTCTGGGAACATCCTAATTTTCTAAAGCCCGTGTTAATAAAAAAAGGTGAATTAGAGTCTGTGCTTACATTTCAGATTCATAAAAGCATGTTGACATTTTGCTGAAAAGACAGGCTAGGATGAGGGAGAAAACAGTAACATACACTGCTTATATTTTCTTTCAAAAGGGCAAGTACATCATCATAGATAAGCACAGCTATTTCAATTTCTTGAGTTCTTCGTGTTATTTTGGCCAGTTTCTATCACTACAATACAAGGTTGTTTCTCTAGTGGAAGAAACATAGAAAAGGATCATTGAATTTCCCAAGTCTACATCTGGAAGCATTGTCCAAATGCTTCTGGGACTGCAGTCAGTTCGGTTGCACTGGGGAGCCTGTTCTAGTGCCCAGCAATGCTCTGGTGAAGAACCTTTTCCAAACACACAACCTAACCCCTCCCCCCCATCCTGACACAGCCCCATGACATTCCTTCAGGTCCTGGTCAGCACTATATTGTGCTTGCAACTATACACTGATAACTTATTTTAGGAAGCACACACTGAGCCCTTCACAAAAACACAAAGTGTTCTGAGTCACCTAAAACTCACTGTAGAAAGCAAGCCTTCTTAAAATAAGGAATAACGATTCAATTAACATTCACAGGAAGATAAGTTTTCTATTAGACTGCATTCCTGCAACGGCAATATTTGTGATTTAGGAAGACCATCACAGTTATAACTATCTGTTTATGAAAGATTCCCAACAGGTTCTGCAAGTCTTTCTGGGAAAAAAAAGCATTAAAACTAGCCTATGCTTTAGCAGTCCATCACCTGCAAGACTGGAAACTCTATGTAATTCTTCTCCGAGTAGATGTTTGATGCATATGAAAAGATGGATTTTAAGTGAGGTACATTTTAAATTCACAGATCTGTTTTTCATACACTCTTACCTACACTTTAATATAACTAATATAGAACATTAACTACCTTTTCTTATAACTGACTTTCAATTGAAAGTGAACAGTAAAGAAAATAGATTTAGCCATTATAACACTTACTTCATGATTAAATCTGTCCAACTTTTGGCCAAACTGTAAATATTGGTTCCATAGGAACCATAGGAACCATAGGACACAGAGGTATAAGATTAGGAAGGATTTCAAGGAGTCACCTAGTGCACATCTTTGCAGGGAGATAAACTCTGCAACCACTAACAACTGAACAAGCTGCAGCTAGTCAGCCAGATACAGTGCCACAGCTGGTACACAGTAATTGCATGCATATTCCTGCTCCAGCATGGGGTTGGACTAGATCTTTCAAGACCCCTTCCAATCCCTAACATTCACCAATTTTGTGATTCTGGTGCAAAAGGGGAGTACCCAGTTAGCATTTCCTACACTAAGAGCTACATATCCCCAACTCAAATTTAGCAGGGGCCTTGTCCTGGCTAGCTGTCACAGGTCAGTTCCAATAATACTTGTCCTGTCATAATTTCATCATGCTTTGCGTTTCTGAATGTGATTAATAGTTCTTGATAGTGACTGCAAAAATAGTATTTGTAATATCATTTTAGAATAACAGAATGTTAGAACGCTTTCTCGAGTTTTGAAGTTGTTTATTTTCTTGCATTGTGATTTGATTGAGCAATTCTGAAACAACCCATACCCATTTATTTCTAACAGCAAAGGTGAAAATATTTTAATGCTTTTCTGAAGCATTACCAAGATATCATTGTTCTTACCTTACATCCAAACTTTTCTTTGGTGCATTCAGTCAAGACCTTTGAACCATATACAAAATAGTTGCATGCATTTTAAATGAGCTTCTTTACACACTGTTTCTCCATTTTGACTGCTTGTTTCATTTGTACAGTGATTAATTGACAAGTCAAGATCTGCCTTGTTATACTAAATACCACATAGCTAGGATTCTTCATCTGCCAGTCTTTTCCTCCTTAGGTGTTCTTTGTAAACTATGTCAACTGTTTACATAACTAAGTTGCTGATTAAAAAAAGAATTTTAAAGGGCCATCAACAGCTTATTAATTGGGTGCTGGAAGGACTCATGACTGCAGCTATATAAAAGCATACCTAGCAAACGCATTAGAAAAATCCAAGAAGAAAGCTTCATTGTCCTACTTCTATTGTCTCTGCAGCAGGAGAAGCTAATTGGAGATAAGCAAAGGCAGCCTAAAATGTTTCCTGTACTATGTGCTCAATGAATTATATGCAGTGTAGGGCCTAGGAAATGAAAAAAATCTGTTAAATATATAATACAGACAGAACACAGGACTTACAGAATGTACATTCACTGGTTATCTGTTGAACCATTAGCCCTGCTAAAAAGAGACAATCAAACGAGAGTTGTTCTACTGCCATTAGACTTACATATGTACTAAATTCCTCGAGATAAATGCTTACATTCACTTCACAGTAATACCTCATTATGAACTGCTACGGGATTTTTGAGTAACAACATAAGCACAACTATAAAATAAAGACAGTTTGATAGGTTTTGAACAGAGGCACCAGAAGGAATTCTAGGAAGGGGATACATCCATTTACTTTGTGAATTTGCTGCCTCCTTTTTAGTTTAGCTCAATCTCATGCTTTCATTAATTAATATGCTGATATTCAATAAAGGCACATCCAACATGTGGCCCACGGGCTGCACGTGGCCCTGCACAGCTAGCAATGCAGCCCCAAATGATTGTAAACTTGTAACATTATTATGCGGTTTTTAATAATGGTTTGGG